CTTCGAAGTCGGCAGCAAAGAGGAGGACAGATGTCCTTCGCCAGATCCTGCGCTTCTCAATGCAGCAGCGGAGAGGCTATTCTTTGCCCCCACCTTGTCTTAGCAGTTGGCAGCAGAGAGGAGGACAGATGTCCTTCTCCAGATCCTGAGCTTCTCCATGCAGCAGTGGAAAGGCTATTCTCTGCCCCCACCCTGTCATCGCAGTCGGCAGCAAAGAGGAGGCCAGATCTCCTTCACCAGATCCTGCGCTTCTCCATGCAGCAGTGGAGAGGATATTCTCTGCCCCCACCTTGTCTTCGCAGTCGGCAGAAAAGAGGAGGCCAGATCTCCTTCACCAGATCCTGCGCTTCTCAATGCAGCAGCGGATAGGCTATTCTCTGCCCCCACCCTGTCTTAGCAGTCGGCAGCAGAGAGGAGTACAGATGTCCTTCTCCAGATCCTGCGCTTCTCCATGCAGCAGTGGAGAGGATATTCTCTGCCCCCACCTTGTCTTCGCAGTCGGCAGAAAAGAGGAGGCCAGATCTCCTTCGCCAGATCCTGAGCTTCTCTTAGCAGTCGGCAGCAGAGGAGGCAGCTGCGCTTCTCAATGCAGAGCGGAGGCTATTCTCTGCCCCCACCTTGTCTTAGCAGTCGGCAGCAGAGAGGAGGACAGATGTCCTTCTCCAGATCCTGCGCTTCTCAATGCAGCAGCGGAGAGGCTATTCTCTGCCCCCACCCTGTCTTAGCAGTCGGCAGCAGAGAGGAGGACAGATGTCCTTCTCCAGATCCTGCGCTTCTCAATGCAGCAGCGGAGAGGCTATTCTCTGCCCACACCTTGTCTTAGCAGTCGGCAGCAAAGAGGAGGCCAGATCTCCTTCGCCAGATCCTGAGCTTCTCCATGCAGCAGTGGAGATTCTATTCTCTTCCCCCACCTTGTCTTAGCACATCTCTGCCTCCCCTGGTCTCAGCATTCAGTAGACTCTAGCCCTTCTTTGGTCCTCCTCCAGACCCTGCACTTTCTGCTTCCAAGCTCTGATGCAGCAGCACAAGGTAAGGGGCGTGCACTGTGATGTAAGGGAGGGACTCTTAACTTATGATGGTGGGGGGGGGGGCTGATATCTGATGTAAGGGGGGGTGCTCTGCACATCTAGTCTTACAGGTACACCCGGCCCTTTAAGGGCAACCATAATGCTGATGCGCCCCAAGATGGAATTGAGTTTGACACCCCTGATTTCGCCTGTCCGCCTGGAGATGTAAAGAGGACCTGTCAAGATAGGAATATGGGAGGAGCTAGAGTCCCTTTAAAGGTAGCCTCCCAACCTAACAGAAAAACATCCTTTCCTGCGTTTTCAAAGCTAAATATCAGCTATAAAATCTTGTCTCCGTTTTTGAAGCCAAGAGGATTACAAATATGCAAATCAGCTCTTCTCCAATACTAAGCACCCAGAATAATGTATGGTCCGTGCCCCCCTCTGATGTAGGTTCCTGTTGCCTCCTGAACCAGTTCCCCACTACGACTGACACGGGACAGAAATGGGGCATTTTGGTTCCTGATTCAGACCTGCTGAGGAGGTGCCGTTGCCACAATTTTCCAACTAACTGGCCATTAGTGTCACCCAGAAGAAGGGCAGCTTAGGTAGCGTCGGGTTCTAGAGGTGGAGATGTTTGGTGCACCTTCTGTCTCACTTTATATTTCCTAATATAGACCATTCAACCTATTCAATACAATGATGCCATTTGGGGGAGGTCATGGGAATGGACTGCCAACGACTAGATGTGGAACATTTGGGCCAGGTCATGGGAATGGACTGCCAACGACTAGATGTGGAACATTTGGGCCAGGTCATGGGAATGGACTGCCAACGACTAGATGTGGAACATTTGGGCCAGGTCATGGGAATGGACTGCCAATGACTAGATGTGGAACATTTGGGCCAGGTCATGGGAATGGACTGCCAACGACTAGATGTGGAACATTTGGGCCAGGTCATGGGAATGGACTGCCAACGACTAGATGTGGAACATTTGGGCCAGGTCATGGGAATGGACTGCCAATGACTAGATGTGGAACATTTGGGCCAGGTCATGGGAATGGACTGCCAATGACTAGATGTGGAACATTTGGGCCAGGTCATGGGAATGGACTGCCAATGACTAGATGTGGAACATTTGGGCCAGGTCATGGGAATGGACTGCCAATGACTAGATGTGGAACATTTGGGCCAGGTGGTAGACTGACCTCAAGATCATCTTTTTATAGGGTTGAAAGGGACAGCTGGTGGACTGCCTCAAGAAGTGACAAGGACAGCCAACCGAAAGGTGGACTCTATGGAGGAAGTGAACAGTTGGGCTGATTCCTGGAAAAACGTTCAGAGACAAGCTGTAAATGGGTCACAAATAGGGTGAAAATAGACCACCTGATCTTTAGTTGGAATGGGAACGGGTACAGGAGGCCAGATGACCTCAACATGGGCCAAACTTGGGGACAACTGGACAACTGAGCTAACGCTATCTGGATTTGTACCATACTGATTTGGGCTTTTTGGGTACAACATGTCCCTTTAACTGCAGAACATGCAAAGCCCATGGAGTGGGACACACCTTGGAGATCTGAAGATACTAAATATAACAACAGAAATGATTGATGTCAAAACCATGCGGACAACTGACCTGAAGCTGTTGTGAAAATTGGATTCAAGAGGATAGTCATCTTCTAGAGGTGCTAAAAACAGGACAAGAGTGGACACTTTACCTCAAGATGGTCTGAGCCAGGGGCGGACTGACAACTCATGGGGTACCAGGGGCATCTCATGGGGCCCCCTACTGACCCTGGGCCCTCGGGCAGTGCCCGAGTTTCTAAATGGTCAGTCCGCCCCTGGTCTGAGCAAAGGTTGGAATGGTCCCTGGAACCTCTGCTAGATGTCCTCTAGGTGGACAAAAATAGGCCTGAAAATGGACAGATGACCTCTAGACCTCTGCCTGTCAAAAGCTATGGATAGTGATGGCCTATTGGGAAATAGTCTGGCTGACTCTACCATCAATGGCTTTACACAGGTGTCATGTGATCATTTATAACCAATGCCAATGCGATGAGGTCATAGGCAGTTTTTCAACAATGATACTGCCGGTACCTCAGCTTCTCTACATGATGGATATTTGTGGGGTCAAACAAAGGCCTCTTCAGGCACAAGAGTGGGTTGCTCTCACTGGCGGCCATACTGATTTGGGCTTTTTGGGTACAACATGTCCCTTTAACTGCAGAACATGCAAATCCCATGGAGTGGGACACACCTTGGAGATCTGAAGATACTATATATAACAACAGCAGAAATGACTGATGTCAAAACCTTGGGGGACACACAGGTTTAGGGGTGCAGACAGACAGAAGAAGAGGAACATATAGGTTTAGCTGAAGGAGGTCAAGCATAGGGGTACAAAGGTTCAGTCTGGGGGTGCAACAACTATAGAGGCTAAATTTGGTTGCACAGACAAAATTATAGGGACACAAACTCATTTTGGGGGTGCAGATAGTATAAAAGGAGACACATGCTCAGTTTGGGGGTTCAGATAGAATTAAAAGGGACACATGCTCTCTTTGAAGGTACAGATAATATTAGGAGGGACACATTCTCAGGTTGGGGGTACAGGTAGTATTAAGAGGGACACATGCTCTGTTTGGGGGTGCAGATAGTATTAAGAGGTACACATGCTCTGTTTAGGGGTACAGGTACGTATTAAGAGGTACACATGCTCTGTTTGGGGGTACATGTAGTATTAAGAGGTACACATGCTCTGTTTGGGGGTACATGTAGTATTAAGAGGGACACATGCTCTGTTTGGGGGTGCAGATAGTATTAAGAGGGACACGTGCTCTGTTTGGGGGTACAGGTAGTATTAAGAGAGACACATGCTCTGTTTGGGGGTGCAGATAATATTAGGAGGGACACATGCTCTGTTTGGGGTGCAGACAGTATTAAGAGGGACATACACTCAGGTTGGGGGTGAAGTATTAAGAGGGACACATGCTCAATTTGGGGGTACAGATAGTATTAAGCGGGGACACATGCCCTCTTTTGGGGTGCAGACAGTATTAAGAGGGACACATGCCCTGTTTGGGGGTCCAGATAGTATTAAGAGGGACACATGCTCTATTTGGGTCTATTTGGGGGTGCAGATAGTATTAGGAGGGACACATGCTCAATTTGAGGGTACAGATAGGGGGACACATGCCCTCAGGTGCAGACAGTATTAAGAGGGACACATGCCCTGTCTGGGGGTGCAGATAGTATTAGGAGGGACACATGCTCTATTTGGGTCTATTTGGGGGTGCAGATAGTATTAGGAGGGACACATGCTCAGTTTGGGGGTGCAGATAGAATTAAGAGGGACACATGCTCTGTTTGGGGGTGCAGATAGTATTAAGGAGGACACATGCTCTGTTTGGGGGTGCAGATAGTATTAAGAGGGACACATGCTCTGTTTGGGGGTGCAGATAGTATTAGGAGAGGGACACATGCTCTGTTTGGGGGTGCAGATAGTATTGAGAGGGACACATGCTCTGTTGGGGGTGCAGATAGTATTGAGAGGGACACATGCTCTGTTTGGGGGTGCAGATAGTATTAGGAGGGACACATGCTCTATTTAGGGGTGCAGATAGTATTGAGAGGGACACATGCTCTGGGTGCAGATAGTATTGAGAGGGACACATGCTCTTTTGGGGGTGAAGATAGTATTGAGAGGGACACATGCTCTGTTTGGGGTGTAGACAGTTTTAGGTACACATACTCAGACTCAGAAGGTGCGAGTAGAATTAAGGGGCCACATTCTCAGCTTGGGGGTGAAGGCAGAATGAAAGGGTGGGAGTGCATACCAAAATGTAGGGACACACAAACTTATTTTTGGGGTGAAAGAGGGCCGTATCATGAGGGGAGACAGGCTGTGCTCAACTGCAGGCAAACAGTATTATGGGGACACACAAAATCCCATTTTGGGGTGCAGGCAGAATCACACAAAGCACAGGCTCAGTCTGCACAATATATGTTGGGGTGCAGGCAGACGGCATAATAGGAAAACACACACTCTGTTTTGGGGTGCAAGCAGAAGGGAAAGGGTGCAGCTGGAATGGGCGAGGGGGGGCACATAGATTCATACTGAAGACTCACCTCTCTTGCTGCGCCCAATCTGGCCAAGTTTGGGGGCCTCTTGCCTCCCCCCTGGCCAGAGCTGCCATAGAAGTTGCCGGTGTCCTGAAGGCGGCAGGTGAGGGGTATCTGGCCATCCCCCCCATCGGCATAATGCCCCCGCTGCTCGGCTTCACTGAAGGGCAGCACTTCGGACATGCTGACACCGATCACAGCCCACTCCGGAGGACGCTGATCACTCACCACGGAGACCCCGATCACATCGTCCGGCTGGGGGAGCGGGGGGACCTGAAGAAGGAAGAGCTCCACAGTCAGGACGGGGCAGGAAAAGGGAGAACAGGGGTGAGCAGTGGGGTGGGGGGGATGACAGACCTGAGTAGGTGGGGGGAGGGGATTAGAAGGTGTGAGGGGTAAATCAATGACTTACTGAGGAAGGGGGACAGGGAAGAAGAAGGTAGCACACTTTTTGGGATGCATTTAGGGGGGTAGATTACATTGTCTGGAGTTAGCCAATGCTGTGGTTTTGTGGAAGGTAGGTTGCCTTGGCAGAAAAAGGTAAGAGGTAGGTTACCTAGTGGGAGGGGGTTGTTTACCTACTGGAAGGGTAGGAGGTAGGTTACCTAGTGGGAGATTGGTTGTTTACCTACTGGAAGGGTAGGAGGTAGGTTATCTATTGGGAGATTGGTTGTTTACCTACTGGAAGGGTAGGAGGTAGGTTATCTATTGGGAGATTGGTTGTTTACCTACTGGAAGGGTAGGAGGTAGGTTACCTATTGGGAGGGGGTTGTTTACCTACTGGAAGGGTAGGGGGTAGGTTATCTATTGGGAGGGGTGGTTGTTTATACTGGGAGGGTAGGAGGTAGGTTACCTATTGGGAGATGGGTAGGATTACCTACTGTGAAGGGTAGGGGGTAGGTTACCCAGTGGGAGGGGGGTAGGTTGTATAGTGGCAGGGTAGGAGGTTAGGTTACCTAGTAAAAAGGTAGGTTGCAATGGGAGGATAGGTTACCAGTGGGAGGGTAGGAGGCAGGTTACCCAGTGGAGGGGGTAGGTTACATAGTGGGAGGGTAGGAGGTAAGTTACCCAGTGGAGGGGGTAGGTTGCATAGCGGGAGGGTAGGAGGTAGGTTACCCAGTGGAGGGGGTAGGTTGCATAGTGGTAGGGTAGGAGGTAGGTTACCCAGTGGAGGGGGTAGGTTGCATAGCGGGAGGGTAGGAGGTAGGTTACCCAGTGGGAGGGGGTAGGTTGCATAGTGGTAGGGTAGGAGGTAGGTTACCCAGTGGAGGGGGTAGGTTGCATAGCGGGAGGGTAGGAGGCAGGTTACCCAGTGGGAAGGGGTAGGTTGTACAGTGGGAGGGTAGGAGGTAGGTTACCCAGTGGGAGGGGGTAGGTTGCATAGTGGGAGGGTAGGAGGTAGGTTACCCAGTGGGAGGGTAGGAGGTAGGTTACCCAGTAGGAGGTGGGCTACCATTGAAGGTAATCACCATCAGCAGGTTTGGGGGGGGGTGAAGGGTATAGGATTGGACCTACCTGGTGGGGGGAGGGAGGAGAAGCGTACAGGACACCTGTGGTGAGGGGGTGTAGGTAGGTTACCTAGTAGATGGAGGGTGATCACATTCATTCCTTGGGGGGGGGGGGGGGGGGGGGGGTAAGGCTGCTGTCGCTGGGGATCTGAATCAGCTCTACAGATGATGGGGGGGGATGTAAACACGACACCTGTAGGGAGGGGGGGGGGGGGGAATAGGGTGACAGAGGTGAGGAGGGGGACCTGTTGGAGGTGGCGGGGAGGGATGGGGGGGTCTCTGCGGCTGCAGTAAGGGGAGGGGGGCACTTACCTCTGTACATTGGACGGCAGAGCAGACAGAAGCAGATAATACAGCTCTATGATAAACAGGTAGGAAGAACAGACAGAATGATGACGGATAGAGAATGGGGGGGAGGGGGAAGGGGAGTATTAGGCAGGGGGGGAGGGGAAAGGGGGTATTAGGCAGGGGGGGGGGGTGGGATTGAAATTGGGGCAATCAGCAGAGGCAGCAGAACCTACCAGAGGGAGAGAGCGGTGCAGATAAAGACAGATCCTGCTGGAGAGAGAGCAGAGACAGCAGGCAGCAGGGAGGTGGAGTGACAGAGAGGGCAGGGAGGGAGACTCTGATGTGGGGGGGAGAGGATGCTCATACACACACACAGGGGGACTCTGATGTGGGGGGGGGGAGAGAGGATGGCTCATACACAGGGGGGGGACTCTGATGTGGGGGGGGGGAGAGAGGATGGCTCATACACAGGGGGGGGACTCTGATGTGGGGGGGGGGGAGAGAGGATGGCTCATACACGGGGGGGGACTCTGATGTGGGGGGGGGAGAGGATGGCTCATACGCACAGACGGGGGACTCTGATGTGGGGGGGGGGGAGAGGATGGCTCATACACGGGGGGGGACTCTGATGTGGGGGGGGAGAGGATGGCTCATAGATACACACAGGGGGGACTCTGATGTCGGGTGGAGAGAGAATGGCTCATACACAGGGGGGGCTCTGATGTGGGGGGGAGAGAGGATGGCTCATACACCGGGGGGGGGGGTTTGGGGGGGAGAGAGCATGGCTCATAGATGGAGGAGGGGGGGACTCTGATGTGGGGGGGTGAGGATGGCTCATACACGGGGGGGGACTCTGATGTGGGGGTGAGAGAGGATGGTTCATACATGTGGGGGACTCTATGTGGGGGGGAGAGAGGATGGCTCATACACAGGGGGGGGGTGAGCATGGCTCGTACACGGGGGGGGGACTCCGATGTGGGGGGTGAGGATGGCTCATACATGGGGGGGGGGCTCTGATGTGGGGAGGGGCGAGGATGGCACATACACAGGGGGGGACTCTGATGTGGGGGGGGGAGGATGGCTCATACACAGGGGAAGGGACCCTGATGTGGGGGGGAGAGGATGGCTCATACACGGGGGGGACTCTGATGTGGGGGGAGAGAGGATGGCTCATACACAGGGGGGGGACTCTGATGTGGGGGGGGGGGGAGGATGGCTCATACACGGGGGGGGGGAGAGGATGTGATGGGGGGAGGATGGCTCATACACGGGGGGGGGGGGGAAGGATGTGATGGGGAGAGGATGGCTCATACACGGGGGGGGGACTCTGATGTGGGGGGGGAGAGGATGGCTCATACACAGGGGGGGGGGGGGGAGGATGTGATGGGGGAGAGAGGATGGCTCATACACGGGGGGGAACCCGCCATAGCCCAACGCCGTCATCGCCCAACCCAGCTGTCGCCCAACACCGCCATTGCCCAACGCCGCTGTCACCAATGCCGCCATCGCCGAACCCCGTCATCGCCCAACGCCGCCATCGCCGAAACCCACCATCGCCCAACGCCGTCATCACTCAACCGGCCATCGCCCAACCCTGCTGTCGCCCAACCCCGCCATCGCCCAACGCCGCCATCGCCGAACCCCGTCATCGCCCAACGCCGGCCATCGCCCAACCGGCCATCGCCGAACCCCACCATCGCCCAACGCCGCCATCACCCAACCCGGCCATCGCCCAACCCCACCATCGCCCAACGCCGTCATCACCCAACCCCGCCATCGCTCAACGCCCGTCATCGCCCACCCAACCCGCCATCGCTCAACCCCGCCATCGCCCAACGCCGCCATCCCCTGCCAACCCCGCCGTCACCCAACGCCGCAGTCACTCGAACCCCTGCCATCGCCCAACGCCGCCATCCCCTGCCGTCGCCCAACGCCGCAGTCACCGAACCCCGCCATCGCCCAACGCCGCCATCACCTGCCGGGATCCGCTGCAAATCGCGATCACGCATCGAATAATTATCACCGGTGTGACGCTCGCCGCGTCACAATGTAACGGAAGACGGGACGGGGCAATCACTACAACAACATACAACGTATACAGATCGGGATCCCACATCCAGAAACAATGTAACAATAACACACAATGTATACACATAACGAATCCAAATTTGGTAACATTGTAACAATATATTACAAAGTATACAGATAATGATCCCAAATCCAGAAACAATGTAACAATAACACACAATAAATACAGATAATCCGGTTACATTGTAACAAGATTTATATGAAGACGGGTGTCAGCTGTACGCTGATATTATAGCGGCCAACAGTTACACATTTTTTACCATGAAAAACGTAAATCTTGGGTGAAAATGTTGATAAATCACCGCCCCCCCCCGAAGCCTAAGAATAATATACTGAAAACGGGGAGCACATTGTGCGTCAGTCAGTGCAGGGATATCACAGTGGCGGCCGTAGTTCTGGAATAATAACGATGATAAATAAACAGCAACAAGCGCAGGAATCTATACAAAGAATTCTAATAACAAAATAACGGAAACATAAAAACACAACGGCGGTCGGCTCGGCGCGGGAAATCCACACAAAGATTCTGTATAATAATATTAATAATAATAAAAATAATAATAATAAAAAAATTTAAATAATAATAATTAAAAAATTAAGAATAAAAAAATATATAAACAAAAACACAACGGCGGTCGGCTCAGCGCGGGAAATCCACACAAAGATTCTGTATAATAATAATAATAATAAATAAAAAAAATAATAAAAAAATATATAAACAAAAACACAACGGCGGTCGGCTCAGCGCGGGAAATCCGCACAAAGATTCTGTAATAATAATAATAATAAAAAAAAAATAATAAAAAAAATAAATAAACAAACACAATGGCGGTCGGCTCGGGAAATCTGCACAAAGATTCCATGCAAAGATAATTCTATAATAATATAATAAAAAAAAAAAATAATAATAAAAAATTAAGAATAAAAAAATATATAAACAAAAACACAACGGTGGTCGGCTCAGTGCGGGAAATCCACACAAAGATTCTGTATTAATAATAATAATAAAAATAATAATAATAAAAAAATTTAAATAATAATAATTAAAAAATTAAGAATAAAAAAATATATAAACAAAAAAACAACGGTGGTCGGCTCAGCGCGGGAAATCCACACAAAGATTCTGTATAATAATAATTTTTAATAATAAAAAAAAAAAAATAATGATAAAAAAATATATATAAACAAAAACACAACGGTGGTCGGCTCAGTGCAGGAAATTCCGCACAAAGATTCTGTATAATAATAATTTTTAAAAATATAAAATAATAAAAAAATAAATAAACAAAAACACAATGG